TCAACTATCCTATGCGCCTTATGTCTATATCTTCTATGCATTACATTAAGAGAAATTTGGTTGTTCTAATTAAATTTTTTAAATTAAAAAATAAGAAAGTTTTTGTAAATCACATATATTATACAAAACATTTCTAATTCTCTCAGTGTATTATAAGTTACATTATATGTGAAAACTAATTCCTTTCACCATGGCCCAATTTTTCATACAATTAGTGCGGAGTTCTTTATCAAAATTTACAACCAAAAAAATCGACTGTGTCTTTAAAATCCAATGTGGAATTACCAGTGGAAGATTAAGCCTTTAAACTTATACACGAAGATGATGCTCTTCATTTTAAGTGTAAACTCGGTGTTTGGGAAATAAGCTTTAGTTATAAACCGCTTGATATATGGGCTTCACTAATAGTACATCGGGAATGGATGCACATTCGAGCGTATGTGGGAAGGTCACACGCTGAATCGTGAGATCTTCTCTATGCACACTTTCTACGCGATAAACGAGCGTGCTACAGCGAAGGGATTGACCGACCAGTTTCAGATACACTGAAAATAATAGCGATCGCCTTAGTTGTACAGTGCGTAATGAAATTCCATGTTCTCGTGACCCACAAGGATGATAGGTACTTGCCGCACGAACACCGGTGATACTTTCCAATCTAATCTCTATTATGATATAAGAAAATATAACACACCGGACGATGCCTACTTTTTTCTCTTTCATTAGGATATCATTCACTTTATATCCATGTTCAAACTCTGCTCTGAATTTTTTGTTTAAATTCCGTTGAGCATCTGGAGTTTATGTAAAGAAGCGTTTATGAGATACGTAAGGAATATTAATTTCTAAATAGAAAACTTCTGTACTTTTTAGTTTATATATCCGTTTCTAATGATCTAGTTTATATTCCGATGTTTTTTTTTTACATTGATACATAAAGTGAATGCCACCGTGAACACTATACTAATCACATATTGAACTCATGTTGATTAATGACTACTGCAAAACGCTGTGTTGGTAGTTCAAGATTTCTAACGCGGGAATCCTGTTCTGCAATGTTTCTGCCCCGGTTAACTATATTACACATCATTAGAGATTTTGCAGTGCGTTTTATGATGAAGTATAATGTATTCATGCGCTCGTCAACTTCGCATTATGAGAACTTAAGTAACCTTTGGACAGTTTTTTCTATGTGCTATACAAATATGTATATTAATATTTACAGCAACGATGTGGTTATTATATCTCACTGCACTGGGAAAATATTAAATTTTAATAAATATTTGTTTGAATAGTAAATATATTTTACTAAACATATATAGGTATATTTAATATAAAAGCCATTAATTTGATTTAATTATTATTTGTTTATTGAGTTTAAATATTTATTTATTAAATACACATAAGTAAATGTTTACTTAGTATATTCAAAGAAATTTGTATCAAGATTTAGTAAATTTTTTTATATATAGTTCAGATATCAACCTTTTAGCAATCAATTTAAATTTTGTTTAAAAAAAAAATTAACAATATGAATACATTATCACAAATATATATATATATATATATTCTTGTAAAAATCTTTTATAAGAATTTTAATTACAAGGGAAACAATTTTATTTATTGAGTGTAAAAAAGATCAAATAAACCAGCAAACATCAGAAAAGTATGCGTAATATGGATCACGTTTATCAACTTCAGTATATTATTGTTAATGATACAATTACAGCGTCACGTTGGTGAACGCTGTCGCGCATAAAAGATACGCGTGATCGCTTTCGCAGCATGCGGCACGTATGTACGCACACGCGTGTGTATGCAAACGCGGAGCGATTGGAAGCGATGTCGAGGAAACGGTGACGGAGCGGGCCTTTCCTTGAGCGAGAACATTGGAGAACGCGCGCTTCGCTCACTCTCAGCGATATCTCTCATTTCGCGTATCTCACCTTGCGAGAGCTAAAGAACTCGTAAAGAATCGCATTACTTCGCGCACTTTCACACGGACTTTCATGACAAATCTGGTGTTCCTAGTACATCTTGATTAACATCTCATAGGTGTTCAAAACGTTCATCACAGCTCGCAGTTTACGTACTGAGAAAAAAATATAATTTAATAAATAATTGTTTGAATAGTACTAATGTAACATTTATTTACGGAAAAAAGTATTTACTAAATAAAAAATATAATAATTAAGTTAAATTGATTTTGTACCAAATAAGTGTATGTTTACATTTAGTATATTCAACTGGCACTATTCAAACAAATATTTATTAAAATTCGTATATTTTTCTCTCAGTGCATTGATCTAAAATTAATTAGCACAAAATAAAATTAGATATCCACACATTTCATTCCATCTTATTCTATCTCATTTTATCTTAAGCAGGTGAAAAAAACAGGTTCTGAAAAATATGGTGGACCAATCAGAAGTTGTCTAAACATCTGATCTCTTACTTAAGAATCTCTGTGTCGTCTATCTCTTGCGGGAAAATACCCAATTTGTGCGTGAGAGTTCTAGAAGCGAAAGCGTTCTGTATACTGAGAAAAAATTCTGGTTGAAAATGAACAAACCGAATTCTGTTCATATCAATCAGAATTCTGATTATCTCAATTAGAATTATATTATAGATTCAATGAAAAAATTATTGTTTATCCATTTTCAAGACCAGAATTCTAATTAATGCAACTGTACTCTTTTTCCAGTGTATACAAAGTTTTTGCATTGTATAATTTCCCATAGAAAAATATGGTATACATTGAACGAGACTTCGTACCAAACTACTACTTTTTATTGCAACACTGAATTATGGAGCGTGTCAAAAGCGAAATCTCATAGTTTCATCAAATTCTTTTTCGAAAATCATTTTTAGCGCTCGCACTGACGCACGAGCGCGCGTTACTATTGTTACTTTTAACGCGCGAGTAATCCCGTGTAGTTTCATGTTGCATGTAAGACACGCTTCACGCGACTCTCCGAAGTTACACGAAATTAAATTCGAATACTACAAATACGGCAAATTGTCAATAGACCGTGAAATTTTATTCTGTTTATCGTGAGGACCGAACTGGCATTGAGACAGTGAAGATGCCTGATTTTATATTTATCATTACGATGAGAACGTTATTTATTAAAATTTCATTTCTATTATTATTACGACACTATTGTTCCGTCTATTGATTCGTTTATAATTTTTTTCGCGCACCGCGTAATAGATTATTAGCGGTTCGCCAAGTAGTGACGTATCATTTTGCGGTATTGCATAGAGAAACTACTGGCGAACCTGTTCTTTCGAGCCTATCTCTCTATCGAATCTAAATCTTTCGCATTGCAGAGTCGTTGACTTTTTCGCGAATCAATCTCGCTGGCCTCTAATGCTAGATAATCTTTATTTTCAAGATAACGGTCAAAACAAACGGCGTGAAACTGTACAAATTGAATTTCATTTTGCATTGAAGAACTTATTTCCATTTACATCAAGATTTCAGAAAAAATATGTGAGTCTAATTAAAAAATAAGTATTACATACATATACATTTCAATTTTTGTAATATTTACATAATTACAAAGTCTTCTATAACGCTTACAAAGTTTTGCGCAAGAGCATATGAATACTACTTTTAAGATAATTCTCGATGCTGAACTTCTGCCATCGAAATATTTCTATTAGGTCCAGTTTTTGAAAAATATGCAACATTTTTTTCAATATACATATAATGAAATTTTATTCAAATTAAAAAAAATAAATCAGAAATGTTGAGCGTTTAATGTTTATTTTTATATATCTAGATCATTTTCACGTATTAGAGTCCAACAATAATTACCTAGTATATTTTCATTCTAAAATCTCTGATAATGTTTCTTATCATAAAATCCTACTGCAGATGCCTTGTTTATCACTTGTATCCAAATTATTCGGATAGAAATCTTATTTAAAAAATAGTATGCTATATCTTTAAAAAATGATATGCTATATATTTGAAAAATAATGGAATTTTTCTGATAGATTCGAACTCGACGTCCCAAAATACATTAAAAAAGTTGTTCTCTTGCATTAAAAAAAATATTCTCATTAAATCGATAAAAGACTCCAAAAGTGGCATTTTTGTGATAACAAACAAAATAGTAATTTTGTGATAAGAAATTCTGTTCGGTCTCTCCAAAATACCATTCTCGTACGGCCCTTTTGTTGATGTAATTAGAACATATTTCTCAATGTGCTACTGTAATTTTTCACCGGATAGTTTTAATTGTTATTTTGTAATACGGACTCAAGACAACTTGGAAATGAGTTTTCCGATTTTCTTCCGAATTCGAAAATTCGTATAAAATGTTGAATTTGATAGCAAGAGTAATCTGCAGGAGTAATCCGTATCCTCGATGGACAATGAACATTCAAGGGTCATTAGCTTGACACGGTTTACTAGAATTAATTTATTCCATACGAGGAAGAGCTCGATCATGCAACCGGCACAGTAGTTGATGGTGCGCGCATAGACCTTATTATATGCACAGATGATAACATCCCAATTGAACGAGAGTAACACGCGATCATCTCCCACGTGGAGGATGTGCGACGGCTATGATGAGAAGCGCACGTTTCTCTAGAGAGAGAGAGAGAGAGAGAGAGAGAAAGAGAGAGAAAGTCCGTTTCGCCAGACGGATACGACAAAACTGCGGCAATGAATCCTCTCATATGTTCATTTCCAAAATTCTGGGTCAAGTTCTTGTTTGTCCGAAAAGTAGCTGCTTGTTTGCGACGAGTTAACAATGTTCTTCCTCAATTTCGCTCCGAAGGCGAAAGCGCTTCACGCTTCGGAGATTGACGCGAGTACGTACGCATTCGTCGTAACGGTGACTTTTGATAGCCGACGGATTTCACCTCGAGTCGGAAATCCAAGCAGTTGAATTATTTTTATTTTAGTGAAAGATCTGAGACTTTGAAACTAAGGACGTGGCTATAATAGAGACATCGGTAATAACATTGAATGAATTTTTCAGCTGGGCAGTTTCCACGGTGATGACGAGGCAGAACCTGGTTCCAAGTCCCGATGGTTCACGCATGATCCACGCTTTAATCCCGATGTGGGATATGTGCAATCACGAGAACGGAAGGGTAAGTCATGGAGATAATGAGCCTGGCGTGAATGAGCAATGCGTTTTCTGTCATTACTATAGATTACGACGGACTTCAACGCGACTTCGGATCGCTGTGAGTGCTACGCGTTGAGGGACTTCAAGAAAGGAGAACAGGTGTTCATAAGTTACGGTCCGAGAACGAACTCCGATTTCTTCGTGCATTCGGGCTTCGTCTGCATGGATAACGAACAAGTATGCACATTTATTCATTTAAAATTTATGTATTTATGTAACAAACGACATTAGTCTGTTGCTAAAGAGTTTAATATTGAAATAACAAACTGTGAAGGCAACTGATGTCTATAATAATATTTTTGCTAGCAAGAGAAATCAACGTCGATGATTTTATCAAAGAATTTATAGCGAAGAGCGAATTTCACAATGCGAATCTCTATACATTATTTACAAAGGCATATCGCAATATGATATGTTACAGGATGGCTTTAAGCTTCGTCTTGGTATTAGCAAAGCGGATTCTCTTCAGAAAGAACGAATAGAACTATTGAGCAAACTAGATTTGCCGTCAGTAGGAGAATTTTTACTGAAACCTGGTACGGAGCCGATCTCCGATACGCTATTAGCCTTCTTGCGAGTGTTTAGTATGCGAAAAGCCGAGCTCACACATTGGTTACGCTCGGACAAGGTCTTCGACCTGAAACACGTAGACTGTGCGTTGGAGACAGTCGTCGAGGAGAATGTCAGAAAATTTTTGCTGACCAGACTGCAGCTTTTAATCGCTAATTATCCTACAACATTGAAGGTGAAAGTGAAATCTGATGTTGCATCATCTGCCTTTACTCTGCCTTCTCTGTCGATCGCACACGATTAATCAACATAAATATTTTTGTTTTTTTCGACAGGAGGATCTAGAATTACTGGAAACAACGTTGCCGCAGATGAAAAAAATGGCAGTTCAATTGAGGGTCACAGAAAAGAGAATTCTTTCGGGTGCACTCGAATACGTAGAACAATGGATAAAGGCTTAAAAAACGATCGGCTGTGGTTTGGCGAGGGTGTCGAACACATATTTACAGTTAAAAGCATCTCGAGAAAAATCAACTTTATTTTTACAATATTTCCGAACGATTTCAAATATAAAAGTAAAGTATATAGAGAGATATATATATATATATAATATATATAAAAGTGGACGAATTATATGTAATAAAGCGTATATTTATCGTCTGTTAAATATGCAAACTCTTCATTTGGTCGACGTGTGTGCGCGTACTAATTATAAGAAAAAAATGCATTGTAAAATATATTGAGAATTATATGAATGATCAATTATATATGTGTGTCTATGTGATATATAATGTAATTGTATAATAATTGTGTGCTCAGCAAATATCTTAATTCTTGTTTTTGTAGAATGGAGACTTTCAATAAGCTTCTTCGTATTTGTTTTTTATAAAATTGCGTACCGACTCAAATATCGATCATTAGAGAGAATGAGAGATCGAATGATTCTGATCTATAACTACGAGAATTAATATTCTACTTGCTCTGCTTGATATATAACATTTTAAAAAAAGATATTCATACAAAAGAGAATACTGTTAATGAATATTTATTTTTCAGAACGAATACATAACAGATACCTGAAGGTCTTGATATGAAACTATATATATAATAGCGTAGGCCTACGACATTAGACTTGCATACGCCATAAAACATTTAAAACATTTCCTGACGCACGAGTGAATTTGAACGACCCGCGTAAATACAACCCTGCGAGGTGTTTCCGAGTGCATTATAAATCGTGTTTAACTTCGTGATCTCGTTAACTGTATAAATCGTTGCGAGACGATAATAGTATCGCGCGTCTCACGCATTGATTAGATCTCTAGGAAATGCCAGATTTCGCGAAACGAAATTAATTAAAATTAACGAAGCTAATTGTAACAAAATGCTATGATCAGGCTACAGCAGGACTGATAGCTCGGAATATCGCTTTTTTAAATATATTTCAATATAAGAATAATTAAAAGAATGTTACATAAACATAAATCATTTGACATATACGTAATATATACGATGAGATTTTAAACCTATAATGTGATCAAGTATGTATATCTTTACAAGCTGTAAGAAAATTCATTGCATCTGCGATGCAATTTTTTGAATGAATAATTTGCATAAAGTAAACATCAAGTGTGATAGCGGAATGTATTTACAAATTTAATTTGTATTGACGTGCGTTGCTCGGAAAATTCAGGAACACAAAGCAGAAAGTAAAAGATTATAGGCGAAATTTCGATCTTATAAAAATAATACATAATAAACATATAATTAATAAAAACGAAAAAGTATAATATATAATATATAACGTTAATAAATTATTTTTTAAATTAAATTTATCATATTGCATTATGTACATCAAATAATCAATTTAATAAAAAAAAATTATATTTAAAATCTCAAATATTGATAGTAGAACATGGAAAAATTCTTTCAAAATTCTCAGGATTCAAACTTTATTCTCATTTGCGGAACAAATCTATCAATAATAACTATGCGTAATATACAAATCTACTTACATAATAATCATAAATTCTACAAAATGTTTTTTTAACATGCTAACAAACACAGTGATGAATGCAAAGTAAATTTATAAAATCGACATAAGCACCACAATTGTTACAGCTTCTCCAAAGCTGCTTTTGCAAAACCAATCAATCAGAATCATAATTGAAATTGTAAACAATTGTTTAAATGTGTTCCTAAATTTTCTGACGATCGTACAGAGAATTCAATTACACTACTCCGCATTGATGCACATTAAAAACTGTACGCGAGATTATCCAAATGCAAAGCTAATTTGAGTGACGAAATATAACATACATTCTACCTAAATATATACTTGTATTTCTCATTGATTAACATTAATATTGGTATAATATTAATATTAGTGTAATATTAATATTAGTGTTAATATTAATATTATTAGTTTCTAATTAAATAATTTTAAGTATAATGCAGTACATCAGTGCGAAGTAGTTCAAGTCGAATTCATCACTAGGTTCATCAGAAAATACCTGTCATTTCAATCATTTCGCATCTATCCGTTTTGTATCTATTTTCTTCTTATCTATTTTCGGATCGCTAATATATGTGTTTAATTATCATCGATATATTTTACTTAACAGATAAAGACAGAAGAATGTGTAACATGTTTTATGTAAAATTAACATTCTGTGGTATAAATCGATATCAAAATTCTGAAGCAAACGATACATTTTTAAAAATAGCGCATGAGTTACATCTATAAACGGCACTTACAATTGTATCAGTTTTATTTCGTAATCCGACTTGAGTATCACTATTACGAGAATGTTCGAAATGTTTGATAAAAGCTAACGACCATTCACAGGTAAAGTTTGTTGCTTTTATTTTCACGATTCAAGCTCAAGTAATATTTTGTCTTTATGACGGATCGTAGAGATCGGTTTCCTGTTGCAAAGAATCGATCTCATTGTCATAGTAACTATCGGAATCTTTGAAATCAGGAACTACAACAATATCGATAGCATCCCCCTTCAATTCGTAAGCGTCGTCTTCCATCTCCTCTTCCACTTTTACATTCCCTACGTTGTGGTCCTCGGTGAGATGCGTAAGAAGGGCGGGTAAGGCGTAAAATATTTTGTCACATAAATTGCATTGAAACGTCTTACCGTCGACCGCGCGTAAACAATGCATGTAATCTTTCATGGGTTGATAAACTTTTCTATGTAGGGCCATATGCTTCTCATGGTCCATGGAGAGAATAAATTCGTAAGAACAGATAGGACACTTCAGGTTGTGTTTTGTCCACATTGTGTGTATCTTCAGTCGATGAAGACTCTCGTAGACCTCGCCGCAAATGGGACACTTGAGGCATATGTGATTTTCCAGGGTCTCCGTGTTCTCGTACATACCGCTACATTCATTGCACTGATACGACTTTTGTTTCTTGCAGGTATGCTTGGACCAGTGTTTTTCCAGCTGAGCCAAGAGGTCGAATACCAATTCGCAAACCGTACAGACAAACATTCCATGATGATCGCGTTTCAGGCCGCATTCCAATATGCTGATCGAGCACTGATAGTGCTTTTCATAGTTATCCTTGCGCAACAAGCTCTCGTTGCAGGACTCGCATTGGTTTTGATGTTTGGTCAAGTGAGCAAATAACATTCCGGGCTCTGCGTTCGAATAATTACAAAAATTACACATGTAACTCTCCGCCATCATATGCAAGTGTGAAAGCAAATGCCTCTGATACGTATTTGGACTGAAGAACGTTGCGCCACATGCGGTTGTATCCGTATAATGCATGGAAAGAGGATTTAACTTTTTTGTCCACTTCTTGTCCCTTTTCATCTTTTCCAGGTTTTCGTACGTGATACATTCGATTTTAGGGATACGTTCATGCTCCTCGGAAGATGTGCTTTGGCTGGTTTCATCCTGTGTCGCTTGATCGCTGTTAGCTACGTACTTCCGCAAATATACCATCTTGTTGTAACTGTGCTTCCACCTGCCGTTCTTTTGATTCTTGGAGATTTTATGCATACTCTGTTCAAGCAGTTCCTCCATCCTCACTTCCGCATCCTCGAGAGCCTCTAAGGGAGGCATTAGAATGTAATTGTCCTCATTGGACACAGATGGTTCGATCTTACAGGATACTTCAGAAGGATGCTTCGTAAGATACAACAAATCTAGCGATGTCTCCTGTTCTTGAGATTCCACTTTGTGTGGAACAGTCTCCACGCTGCTTCGTAATTTTCGCCCACTGCTACTGGCATGCTTACTCTTTCTGTGGCTCTTGCTCTTCTTCTCCTCCGTGGTCTTTCTCGTTTTTTTGGGCAGGTTCTCGCTCTCGATCTCGTCCAGCTTCAGCATCCTGTTAGTCTTCAAGTCGCGTCGCCTCATTGACGCTGTATTACACAATCAATGGGACGGGGTACGTGTGTTTACAATTGTCAGACGTCGTGACATAACCTAATACCCGTGTCCTATTAACAGACGGATGTGAGAAAACATGCGAAAATCTCGCCGATCCTACGAATACCTGATTCATGTACTCACGTATCGCGATCAGTCGCATAGTCGACGACAGCCCTGGTTGTGCTTCACGACGCGCTGTCACATTGCACCCCCCCAGCATTGATTTTTCCGGGATCCGGATTTCTCCGGAGGCATGGCCGTCCGCTGTCCTAGGGCGGAGAAGTCGTGTGGAAACACGGCGTGCCGACTCTCGTCTCGTAGCTCGTTCAGGAAAACACGTATGTGGGAAACCCTGGCGTTTCTCTTCCCCGATAACGCTGGATGAATCAGCTGTTCACGAAACGGATGCGAAAGAGAGAGATCGAACGATCTCGTTCGCCATGCCGTAGCGTCGCTTACCGTCCTCGCGTTCTGCTTTCAAGAGTAGAAAGGGCTCGATAACGGATAACGGGCCGAGGTAGCTCGCGCCGCGAATCGATGAGAAAGAAAGGAAGGAAGAAAGAAAGGAAGAATATGCTCGATGTGATCTCTTTGCCTTCTCCTTCTCTCGGACAACACACCCAGACCGATAGTGCCCGGATATTCGCTTATTTTGTTTTAAACGAACTTCCTGTTTGTCGGGAAAAGAGGAGGAGGCAAAGAGATTGTGTGACTTCTTCCGATTTGCACAAATTCTTTTAATGTTTATTCTCTTATAATGTTACTTATAGATTATGAGATAAAATCATATTTTTTGAAATGTATTATATGTAGAAGTTAAAAAACGAATTCGATGCTAGTGCGAAAATGTCTCCCCTCTCTCCTCTCTCTCTCTCTCTCTCTCTCTCTCTCTCTCTCTCTCTCTCTTTCTCTCGCTCGCTTTTGTTCTCTCTCCTCCCCTCCTTCGTTTTCTCGTTCTTTTTCGTTCTTTTCTCTTTCTCTTTTTCTCTCTCTCTCTTTCTCTCTCTTCTTTCGCTATATATACAGTGTCTTTCAAAGATTTATATTGCAAGGCTTAATGAAAAATGCGACACTTGATATTACATTGCAAATTTTCAAATAGAATAAAAAGTTAAAATGACATCGAAATGACGTCAAAATAGTACCAAAATGAATTATATATAATATTAAAGGTCATTTATTGATTCCATCATGATTTATTTCAATGTCATTTTGACTATTATCGTGATATCGATCTTACCCAAGTAGAATACAAAAGAGAGTCATAATTAATTAAGTTATAATTAATAAGGTCATGATGATGTTCATGCATGCATTAGTCCACATTTTATATACATATATAATTTCAGTGTTCTACTTTAGTGTATTCATACTAATGCAATACGCGGCTTATTATAATATTAATATATATGGTTCTGAAGTTGTAGCCATCTATTTTAATATCATATTATCATATTATAAGAAAATTACCTAAATGATATTATTTATCTCATTAATCTATATATCTGCTATATTTTATCGTATTATAGAGGCATCGCATGCACGATACCTGTTTCTTATGGACAACGGAAATACGTAAAGAAAAAAGGAAAAAAAAAAGAACCGTGACCATCGTGACAAAAATTATGAAAAGGAAAAAAGGTGCGAAAAGCATTTAATTTTTCAATTTTCAAACTTTTAATTTTCTCGAGACTTTTCAAAAACATTAAGTTAATATTTCTATAGTCTTGCGCATTCCAAACGAATCCATGTCACGACTTTGCGCGAAAGCGTAAGAAACCCCCCCCCCCCCCCGCTATTGTTATTATATATATCCTTCACAAAAGCCCTCGATGTATAATTCCAAGAGAATCCTAAAGAGTTTATAATTACAAGATACTTAAGAATCCTTCCTTTTATTTTACTAAAACTTCCCTTAAAATTATATACATCAACGGACAGTCGATCTAACAAGTCCGATTCTACATATATATATATATATATATAGTACATATATATATATAGTATATACAGTACATATATATTTATATATATTTATATATATTTATATAATATACAACATTATAATTTCAACGATCTTCCGCCCTCTGTCTGCTCGAGTCAGTTCCTGTCAGTCTTCCTCTTTTTGTGATCGTGCCCATGGACGAGACGATCAGCATGAACATCGTGGTAGTCGTAACCATGGCCATAACCGTGTTCCAGTACATGACCAATCCCATGGTTGATGCCATGAGCAAGGGGAGCGATGCCATGGACGCCATGGTCCAATTGCACGGCGACCGACGACGGATGGACGTGAAGATGATCGGATGCGTAGTCGTGCGCATAGATGGCACCAGGATGATCGCTGAACGGGGTCAGCGGAAGTAATGGGGGCGGTAACGATTGCAGTGGAAGCGGCGAGGGTGGTAACAAATGCAGCGGAAGCGATGAGGGTGGTAACGGCTGTACCGGAACCGGGATCGGCACCGGAACCGGCACGGGTACCGGATGCTTTACTGGAACTGGATACGGCTGCTGCACGGGTACCGCGATCGACTGCTTCACTGGAATTGGCACTGGACGCTCCACGGGGATCGGCACCGCCTGAGAATTTTCCGATAGAAATTAAGGGCGACTTTTACGATTTTTAGGCCCGGTTGCACCAACGTTGTTTTGATTTTAAGCGAAACTTCAAACTCTTTCTATCTCGTTTTAAAACCGAAAAGAGACTGGAACAAAGAGAGTTTTAAGCCTCGCTTAAAATTAAAGTAACGTTAGAAACTCGAATCTTATCAAGCTCCGGTTAATTTTGCAGGATTCCAACGATATCAACTGAAGCTGATACCGGAAAAAAAATGCGAACTAAAGAGTTAATAGATTTACATTTACATTTATCTCTTAGCATTTTTATTACGACTATTTTTTTCTACGACATCTATTTCAATTGGAATTCTGCAAAGTTATTAGACTGGTTAAGTTGACCTAAGCTTGGTAAAAGTCGCCCTAGAAATAGAAATAGAAAGAAAAAGAAAAAAATATGAAGAATAATATCCGTATTCATAGCCAGGTCTTATATTTAAGGCTTTTTTAAATTTATCTTCAGATGCTCTACGAATTATTTTATTGGTTACTTTATTGGTGAGCATCTAAAGATAAATTATAAATTGACTTTATGTTCAGAATATTAATTTAATCTTTATCAATATAATTTTAATATTAAAATTATATTTCCATGATTTTTTAAATATTGTTTTCCACAAAGTTACTATAAAAAAAAAAGATATCATTATTAACAGACTTCGTTAAAAGTGCTGTTGAAAGAAAGTAAAATTGATAGGAACGTTACCTGAGGTACTGGGACGGGAATCGGGACTGGTTTATGAACAATCTTCTCGATCGGTACTGGCACATGATATGGTTTCTCTATGATTACCGGTTCCGGAACTGGCACCGGCTTCTCCAGCACTACGTGCTTCGTTAAATACACTGGTACAGTTTTCACATTTCCGGGTGTTAAGGCGATGCCACTTCTATCATTAGACGCACTTGCTAGATGTGACCTGTCGGTCGACATTTATGAATATGGTTAACATCATTGTCATTTTATAAATATCCCAAGATTTTTAGAAAGTATATTATTGATTTTTTTGAAGTCTATTATTCAGAATGAAGGAATATAATTTGTGAAGAAGAAAATGATTCTTCGAAAAATATTTATAATTGCTGTATGATATTCATAAAATTTCTCGTTTCACTAATATTTTATGTTATTTGTTTTACAACGATAAAACTTAACACGAAAATTGTATGCAATTTAGAAATTTACTTTAAATTTTCTAAATTATATAAATCTTATTATTATTTACTTTCAATATATATAGATACATTATTTTATTCTATTTAATTAGAATTATTTTAGAACATTGAAACTTAACATGAAACATCTATATTTTTTTAATACAATTTAAAGAGATTTACTCTAAATTATTCTGAATTATATTTATATATAAATCTTGTTTAATATTTATTATTATTAATAAGTATATTATTTTTACCCTGCGTGCAGATTAATCTCGGGAAATTTAAGTCCTTTCCAAGAATTACGCTCGATTGACCATGGTTGTCCATAAGAACTCGAGAAACCGATCCATCCGTCGTTACTGATAACACCCCGCTTTTGCTGCTTCGTGTTTTTCAGCACCGATGCGAATGCACAGGTGCATAATAATGTCAGAAATAGCTGAAATATAGCATTAACGTAAAGAAATTCAAATTTTGATAAATTAATGTCTTACAAAATTCAATTATTTAATACGTTGTATAAATTAGTGGAAAAATTGAAAGAATTTAATGAAGAGTACTTGGAAGTTTTAATTTTAGAAAAATTAAGTAATCAGTTTAGAACCATAGATAATTTATAATTTTATATTCATACTTTAATTTTGATTTACACAACTTAAATGAGTAAGTGCGGCTACTTACGAAGATCTTCGACATGATAAGATCTCTAGTTGTGAACAAACTGTTCATAAGATCGCAACAGAAGCCTTTTATATTTGCGAATCGTACCAATGACGATTTAACAGGTCCAGATCAAGGAACAGAGCAAGTTCCCATTTACGATCAAATCGGAAGCTTACTCTTCTTGATTGATACCCTAAGCTTCCGGTGATGAAAGTTGTCTGCGATCGATTTAGTTTGCAGCGACATTTCAAGATAACGTCAGACACACATAAAGCTTCGTAGCTAAAATGGAACAAGCTAATAAACACATCACATACCATAATAAATACTAATTTATATTAAGTTAAATTATTCGAGTAATAAAATTAATTAATATTAAATTGATTAAGTTATTGATTAAAATTTGATTCACGCAGATTTATATGGAATATTGAATACTTAAACACATACATATTGATCTCTTCAGACTTGATTTTAATGGAATTATGTTAAAATAATTTTTTTTTCAATTCAGTTTAAGAGCACTTTAATTAAAGCAATTTATACTAAAAAATTAAATTTATTTAATTTTTACTTTTTTTCCCAACATATACATTATTATGTACCTCTAGTTTGAGATAATGTTGATGAAATTAAATAATTTTAAAATTAATGTCTTCAAATTTGATATTCATTACAATGTCGCAGAGTCTGAAGGGGTCAGATATTTAATAATTAAGTTTGATATATTAAATAATACTGAATACTATTTGATATTGATGTAAATGCAACCATATCTTTTGCCAAGAACGACACCGGTTTCTCACTCGATTACGAGCTCGTGCTTGCAATGTTGACATTGCAATTACGTTCGACGATCAAAGCACCTGTACTACTTATCTACATCCTCGTATCTATTTAATTATGCCTGGAACTCACTTCCGCGCACGTACGGGGAAAAGGAAAACTAAGAATTCTGCGCGTTGTCGTTTATAGATATTGTCTGCATGAGCGATGGATAAACAATGATAACGTACAACTGCAGCAGCTAATTCTTAGTCGTGATACTCTAGATTAGCAAATTTTAAGTTGACAATATGTTGTCTTTTTCAATATTATTATCTGTAAGATTTATGAGTTATTTAAAAAAAATATACTTATTTCTTATCTTCTCTCTTAAAGATCTCTTAATCTCTTAAAGAATTCGAGAAACTGTAGTCCATTTTTATACAGAACTAGAAAAGATATTGTATTTCATTTGTTTCTGAAAATTCGTAAAATAGGACTGTTATCGGAAAAGGTTATACTTTTCGAATTTTCTATCTTAAAAATGTATACAAAACATTCTTAAAATAAGTACTCGGATAATGATTATATTAGAAGTTTCCTTAAGATACGTATAATCTATCTAAACAGGTACATTTTCGAAGGATAATGGTCATATATTTTTGTCTATGTGATATTAACTTTTTACAAATTTTATCGATAGAAACAGTCGAATTTTGTAACCAAAACTCATTTTGACTTTCGTGACATTAAAATGAATCATCATTTTGACTTTCTCTTGATTTGATATAATCTTTAGATAGATTTTTAGAAGTCCATAAAAGAAGAATTGTTCGAGTAGCGAACATTTTTCTATTTTCCCATAACAATATTGTTTTCCTTTCTCGAATTGTCCACCAGGTTTTTTTTTATTGTATTTTATCACTACGTGTGCATTCTGCTAATTCGCGCATTCGTGGCTAGTAAATCTTGGTTGGTCAGCGTCATCAGGTGTATTGTTACGTGTTCGGCTCTAACTCATCGATGAATAATGAATGGCGAGTAACGTGGCCGGCATTAAGAACGCGACGGCATTAGACGCTTAGAAAATGAAAGTTAGGAAAGTCCTCGCGATTAACGCGGAAGCGAAAGAGGAAAACTCGATCTCGTTGACCGAATAGAGGACACCGGAGAACGCTGAAAGAAACCGAAGTTGCTATTTGCATTATTTGCTACCGCATATCTTCATCTCTTGTTGCGCAAAACTCCTGAATTACATCAGTGATAATTCACGCATTAAATACGATAAAAAAACACACCATGTTAATTTTTTTATACACTAGACATTCTAATCTGCATATCAAATAATAGTATGTTACTGATTAATTACAGTAAACTTATTTATTTTCTGTTAAAAAATTATCATGATTTATTTAACCAACTACATTATTTGGTTCACTTTAAATAGTCTATAATTCATATAAGATTTTAAAATAGAATTGTAATACAAATTAAAATAAATATGTAATATGTAATATGTAAAATACGCTATATAAAAATTATAAATTCTATGTAATGTATAATATGTATTTTTAAAATATTTTTTTATCACACAAAGCACAAAATAAAATTCTAAATAGTCATATAGATTATCTCATGAATCATAAAATTAATCATAAAATTAATACATGTTTTATAATATAATTACTAATGCAATGCGCGGACCGATTCCAATCATGTATCACTGCGTGAATTGAATCACATATCGCGCGCTATCGCGGCTATCTAACGATCGAAAGACCAAATAATTATCGGTGAACTCCGATTAACTGAGTCACTAATGAATGTCCCAGGATTTTTTGTGCGTCTTCGTTCGACCTTCTAGGAGAGAAATGCAGCCGCTGTTTGGCTGTCGCCCAGGTTCAGTTAGCGAAAGTATATCGCTCCTTGTAATCGCTGCTCTTCTTCATTCGCGCGATGATGCCCTATAAATACATATGAGGACCACAATTCCGGAGCGAACTCAGTTTTTCGTTGGCATCCCGACCGGCAACTGAAACTCTCGAGCGACCAATCATGAGGCTCTTCCTGGTACTTATCTGAATTCTTGTTTTTATTTTATTACACGGAAAGAACGGTTTTGCTAAAGTATCTAAAAATTTACAGATCTGAAAATAATTATCTTGGATCGTCACAATAATTACATAGAATGTTTAAATGTTGATAACAATTCTGCAAAAAGTTGTAACATTTTAGTAACTAGTTTGAGTGTTTTATTAGGTGTTGGAATTAATTCGTAGCGTTTTTAATGAAAGAATGTTATTTATTTCACATGAGCATTAAAAAATACATTAATGAAAGTACTTCCCATCACTTGTAAAACGCTACGAATTAATTCCAACACCTAATATATAATTATTTTGTTGATCTAAACAAAATTATTTTCAGATCTGTAACTAGCTAAATTTTCAGATACTTCAGTAAACCATTTTTTCCGTGCATTGTCACGATCGATAATCCGCGTGATTTACATTCGGATACACTGCGGTAAAGAATGAAGAATGTTAATCTAGTGATTTGTTGATCGTTTGTGTATTACAATGGATAATTGTGGATCATTTGATACCTTGATCTAAAGTGATTTAAACTAATCCAATACCGCAATAAAAAAAATCAGATTTAGCAATTAAATTGAAATTATGAATTATACAAGTCAAATCTTTTTAAAACTTGTAATCAGATATACAATAAGATTTTCTATTTTTCAAAATGTTTAAGTTCAGAAAATTTTCATGCCGCTTTAGCCATCTGATTAAGATGCTGTTAGATTTTATATAATGAATTTTTTTAAAGTAAATTATTATTGTAAGAATATTCTATATATAAACGTAAATTATTCGACATGACATCTTTTCGTTTATACAGATGACAATGCTGGTGTTGGCCAGTAGTTTAGCCGATCCCATTGACAAGAATTCAGAAAAATTGCAGAGCGCTTCAGAGGCAAAAAGACATGAGAAAAGAAATATAGATTGCTCGAATGGACATAGTATACACATATATTGTCCACCGGAAGCTCCACTCGAACCGTCATCCTTCTTAGTTCAACAGCCAGTCGGTGAGTTAAATTATAATATAAAATTTTATTGATCTTGAATGTATTTCAAAATTAAAGCATGTTGTGTGATATAATTAATTTAATTCTATAATAATATTTAATTAGAAAGAAATCGTTCATAAATTATCTCCTTTCTTTTAAATTTTATGTAACGAAAGGAAGATGTGATTTTATTTAACCTGCTTTTGATTTATTTATTATGTAAAATTAAACTTAATGTCGCGATTAATGTTTACATATTAATAGATAGTAGGGATACATCTGTGAATAATATCTTTGTATTCTTCTTCAGTGCATGTGCCTGTGCCTGTGCCTGTGCCTGTTCCGCAGCCAGTTCCGGTACCACATCCAGTACCCGTAGTAGTACCGGTCACTAAGCACGTACCAGTTCCCTTACCGATTCATGTCGAACGCACCGTGCAGGTGCCAGTGCCTAAACCGTATCCCGTGGAGAAGATCGTCCATGTGGACCGGCCAGTCCCGGTGACATTCGAGAAACATGTGCACATTCCAGTCGATCGACTGGTACCGGTACCGCAACCGTTTCCCGTTGAGAAGGTCGTGCATGTAGACCGACCGTATCCGGTGCCGGTGGCAGTGCCAAAGCCGTACGCAGTACCGGCCTTCATACACAAACATAAGTTATTCAATTGTTGTTAACGCACTCGCCGAGTTCCGTTTTAATGCAGTAGCGATATGATATTTTCACTAATATCGTAACTTAATGTGTCAGTATAATCTTTTAGTGATATAAGCGCAGCTATTTTGTTTTTGTTACAGATTTATTATTGATAATTAATTATTCGTTAATTATTATTCATAATTAATCTTGCCTGACTGAAATGTATCTTAAAAATTGATTACTGCGAGCTTTTAAATGCGTCTGTTTCTATTTAATAAATAATACTTCATTAAAAAATTTACTTCTTAGATATTTGTATCCTTGCTAAGATTCTTCCATCTTTTCATTGCTCATCGTTATTTTACGTAAAAATCAAAAAGCAAAATAAATAAAATATTCTTCTAAAATCTGTGTTTCTGAAGTCAAATAAATATTTTTCCAAAATTTATGTTTCTGAACAACCTTGAGAACAATGCTATTACCACGTGCGAATAGCGAACTTGTTCTATTAGTAAGTTTCTTTATGATTAATGCAGTAATAATATTGCGCGCTGAACATAGTTACAAGGTGAAAACAATTTATTTATTTATGTTCTTGCTTTTTAACTGCATTAGCATTATTAATAATTTATTAAATTAAATTATACATTTTTTATGTAACATCTGCTTTGCAACTAATAATACTTAATATTTAGATGTGCTTTAAAATGTCAACAATATAATAGTTTATATTTCAGAAACTTTATCAACGCTAGAACAAACTAGCATACAAAAAACGATGATTTGTGAGACATTAGGCGTGTTCAAGCAGACAAAGCAGACAAACTAGCTTATTCGCCGAGAATATGATTGATTCTTAGTGAGAACTTTTTACTTATAGATCCAATCAATCAGGCTAGCTTCATTTGGCTCAAACACCATTATTTTGCTTTTTAATCGATATCACAATTAAAATATTTCTTATGTAAAAAAATGTTTATTTAGAACAATAATTAATAAATATATAGATTGTATATTTTACAGTGTTCAACTTCTTGTTCTATTCTTACAGTGTTTAACAAAATAAAAAGAGTCAGTGATATACCAACAGTCATAAGCGTGATTATCTGAATAATAACGCTTTGAATAGTAAGTTTTATTGACGTGCAAGATATAAAATTATGAACAATGAAATAATGTAAATTAAAGTTGCACCTTAAATGATAGTCATGAGCGATAATACTGTTTGCAAGCCTAGACCTTGTTATAATTAATTAATTAATAGATTATAGTAACTTTGAAGTAAATAAAATAGTGGAAGGAAAATGCCTCCCTAACGATGCGAGAAGCATAAATAATGAAAAATTTGACATTAGCTGGTTACTTTATTATCATATTGGAGGGAGATTTGAACAGCCAATGAAATGCTATCGCGTGTCTTCTTACATTAGTCTGTGCTTGCGCATCGAGCGATGAGTATGGAAAATGTCGCGCTACCTCCTACGATAGGAAAAATATACTGATGGAGGCAGCAGGGAAAGGTCGCGATTTCCACGTAGCGGCTCTCTCATGCATTGTTGACGAGCGAATTGCTAGGCAAGGCGTCGCGCGCTACTACTGTTCATTGTTAAGAAGCATATATAATCCTACTTTTGTCTATAGGTCCGAGAACTACATTTTTCAATAATTTCCGAAGAATTCGCAAATTTCCGACTATCTTTGATCGATTGGCAGAGACTTTTTAATGTAGATTAATAGAGAGATAGAAAGATTAGTTGAAATATATAATATTAATTTATACTTTCTTCAATAACTATAATACAATTCATACAATTTATGCCTTTAATAATCAGAATGATTTTTTATTGACGTTAAATATAAAAAAAGGTAAACACGAAAATTCAATTATGTTTTTTTATAACTTATGCTAAAAAAAATTATTATTTAATGCTGCTATTACATATTAGAGCTTGACTTACATAATAAAAATAAATAAAAATAATTTGGAGATTCTTTAACGATTTCTAAAATTTTATATGTTATTTCTAATTACTTTTATTTTGCTATTTTGAACATTGCAGTATTTCGATTTACATTTACATTTCAATACAAATTGAAGCTGTAAAAAATAAATTATCATCTGTTCTCATGCAGAAAAATTAACGGTTGCTTTTAGAAATAAATTGTTTAGCGAGTAGATTTTAAATAGATTACAAGGGAGATAAACGGGCAGCGTTAGTCAAGAAGAAGAGTAACTATACACGATCTCGATACATCAGCGATCGTGTGAACAAACGCGATGGTTTCTTGGTTATCGATCATCATTCACGATTATCTGTAAATAAAACGAGAAAACACATGGAGGGTTTCTCGCCCTATGTCATCCGAGAAAAGGTCATCCGTCAGATTATTATGCCGAAAGAAACCCGTAACCCCGTTATAGCGAACCGCTATCTCTCTGCCACTATCACAGCTCTCAGTATCCGTTTAGACAGGTAGATACGCGGATTTTCTCTCTTTCGAGATACGAAGTGCGAATGTTTCGCCTCTGCGATGTGGAATTTTGATCACGATCGTACGTTGGTGCTCAGTCTCATCTCACATAAAAAATTTGGCGATAATAGTTGCATAAAAAAATATTCATTGGTTCGTGTTTCATGGTGCAACAGGATAGTGTAGATTACTTATTCGTAATTTATTTATTTATGTAACGTCATATTCATGGAGAAGAGAATGAGCTTCTCATAGATGTGACACAGATATATGATGCTATTTAGTTTGATACAATTATGCACATTGCCTAAATGTTCAAACAATTTGAAGTTATAAACAAAGTGTAGAATTAAAAAACAAAATAGAATGTGAAAATAAAATCTTATAGTTGTCTAATTGCATTATTCTTTATAACTGATTATCAATATACAAAAATGAAAATTTTTGTATATTAATAATTAATTTAATTAATAATTAATTAAACTTCGCAAGCGACGAATTTTATTCTTTTCTTTAACTCTTTTAAATAATGACTCTAATAATAATTCAGCATGTGCTAATAAATTTAATCATTGTAAGAAAATATTAATTTATAAATTTAAATCGCGAATTGTTTTTTCTCTTTTTCTATGTGTATTATTGAAATATGTTATTCTGAATGTGAGAAGACGGATATTGTGTTACACAAAGTGGCTATTAATCACACGTTATTAAAATGCTTTGCAATGTTGTGTCATGCGATCGTAAGTGCATTGCTTTCAATAGTAAATATACTAATCATATGTACTGTTCGGAATGCACATTCCAAACTTTGATTGCGATTTCTTTAGAAGTGGCTTATATCTTTAGATTCTTATCTTACGCGCAGCTTTCTTTTATATATAGCAATTTATTTTAATGGGACTTCGGTTACGGTAACTACGTCTACGATAGACGACAGTAATAATGTATGAAAGTTGTTCGTAGCAGTGTATAGAGTATCTATAGCAATGTCATATTTAATTAATTCTTCGGCGCCTTTTGCGCTCGATAGGCGTTACACTTGACACCAAAGGCGTGTATCTATAACACTGACTTAAAGTTGAGACTTAAACATCGTCATCACGATCAAAGAAAATGAACTCTGGATACCAATAAAATAGCCTACAAAATATATTTTAAAGAATAAAATTATTTTTGTTTTCTATCAATGTTATTGTATTAAAATTTTTTAATTCTTTTTGTATTGATTTCTTGAATACATTTTTAATTTAATTTAGTCAAATGATAAATTAAAATAAATTATATCTACAAATTATATTTCTTTCTTTATTAATTTACATAATTTAAAATATATAATTGCAATTTGTTGATTTGCGTTACGTTTTGTTATGACTAATATGTTTAAATTTTATTTGTCTTGATAGCATTTATTATAATAATTTATTCATAATCCCAAATGTAGTAAATATTAGGCTGTTAAAAATTTTGTATATACCTACTTTTGTGTATACCTACAATAGGAAACCACAGGACGTATATTTTCTATTGAACTATGTATCGTAAATTATACATCAAATGCGCATCTAATCGATAGAGAAAGACAATCATGTATTTTATTTCATAAAATTTGATTGATAATATTTTAGAAATAAGCAAAAATATGTATCATAAAAATAACTTTTTGCGTCAAATGGACGTTATGAATCAATTATAATTGTTTTGAATTGCTTTCTTCCTTCAATTTTTTTATATAATTATTAATAATTAATTATTAATAAAATTTGATATCTTTAATGTATTTAGCAGAAGTAAATTATTTTTATTTTAAATAATACACGTTACAAATTAATTATGTAGGTGTACAGTTTTTCAAACCAAGCTTTATTTGTTATGGAATACTAGAAAATTCTTTTAATTAATCATCAATTCGGATAGTTTTGACTTGATACTTTCAACTTTTTGAATTTTTGAAACTTAAATTGTCATTTTGAATATAGTATATAATTATAGATAAAAAGATTATGAGAAATTTGATATGGGACATTATTTTTCAATTTATGTATGTTAGTTGTAAAATATATCTTACTGGTAAATATTGTTTAATAGTTTAAATTTTCTAGTATTATATAAAGTTTAGCACAGTTTCATAACATATTGTTATTTTACATTTAAAAAATCGGTTACATTCTTCTAGTAAAAAAATTTTTTTTTTAATTTTCTACTAGAAGAATACCAATACTGCCATATTATTTTGGACTGTATATTTCTTAACAAAAAACTAAAAACACAACTTTAAAAATATAAACTAGAAAATATATTCTCTCAGATGATATAGCATTTTTTATAATACTGTTTGCAATTTTGCAATAATTATCTGTTTTGTAATAAAAACAAAAAATCTGAACATCTGAGAAATAAGGAGATATTTCTTTAGGAGACCTATGTCAGTACAGACGACTTTCCTCTGCTGCTATTAAAATTATGTACATGTTGAGCAAACTTGTACTTAAAATTTGCCTATTTTGTTCTTTTTTCTACTGTACTTTTCTCTACTACTGCTACTTAAAATATATCTGTTTTGAATATTGCAAATTTTGTATTTCAGAGATTTATATATACATATTATTTTTTTTAAAGATGCAATGTGTCATCTTTTTTAAGAGCGTAGAGTAATATCTTTCATTTTCATATCTTATTTTTTATATACAATTACTTCAATCGTTTTTTTCAGCGGGTAAACACAAAGAAACGCAAATATCGTATAGGAAAAGTCTATTTAAGCTTTTTTATATAACTATTTTTATTCGATAAATCTCAAAAGCTGCTGATCGCGCAGTCGCAATCGCACCGATGTCGTCGAATCACAGTCAATGGACAAAGATGTGCGTATGTGTATGTAAGAATGTATGAATATGAGAACAACTCCAGGGGAGCGGGTAGTTCGCCGATGAGAATTGCTGAGGAGGACAAGAAGACGTTTGAGATCAGAGCGCAAGGCATCAACGAAAGTGGACATTCGCATATCGACAACCTTTCTGAAGAAGAATTTCTGCAGGTGTGCTTCACAGAAGCTTCACGAGAACAGAATTTTAAGAAAAAGGAAGCACGAAATCTAAAATCTCTCGATTTAAAAAGTTGAACTCAAAAATTTATAAATTCTGAAGACAGGATCATGTGATAAATTTAAAGATCAAGAACTTCGTATTTACTTTGAAAATCGAATTATTTGGAACATCAAATTGTTCGATGTTTTATAAATTCTATTAATATAAAAATTATATCTGAATGATCTATAAAAAGATATCAAGGAATTCATTAAGTCTGAAGTCTTAGAATTTTGTTAATTTTAGAACTCGTTGATTTTGTCAATTTTAGAAGTCAAGTTTCTATCAAATTGGATGATTGAAAAATTTGTATATTTCGGAAATTAAGATATTGATGCAAAGAATGAGCGTTTTTCAAGAAATTTTCGAAAGCTTGGGAAATAACACGCGTCGTGTTTTACGTCGAATAGATAATGCAAGGCGTAATCCGAATTTGAGGCATTTATTATCTTTTTTTACGATCGGAAAAATTCTCATCATCGTGCTACATGTTATTGACAAATACAAGGTGCTAACCTGCTCTCAAAATCTCTCAAAAGATAGGAAATGTAATTCAATTCGCGCGGTGTGTTCTCAGATTAATATGGTGTCTGTGAAAAAATTAGGACTCGCAGGCTCCTGTACTTTTTCCATTGGACTTATCAGTTATACTTTGGGATTTCCTTCTATGCTGAAGTCGCAAGTTAAATCTGTAAGTAGTGATTGATACATCACATCGTCAATTTATCAAGCTCTGTTCGAAATATTGAAATCAGAACTGTAAGAAAGATCTTTCTTTCAATATTGGATTACTGCGAATTTAGCTTCAAGCTGTGAATATTTTAATAATAAAATCTTTTCCAACTAATTTTAAATAAGTTTTGCTATGTAGAATATATATTTTTATTTAAAAATTATTAATAATAATTATTAATATAATAATTATATTTATAAATAAATATATTTATAAATAATTATTTAAATATCCTGATAACAAAAATATAATTGTGTAACATAATCTTCTGTTAAATTTTTCAATATCATATAATATTTACGAGAAGAAAGACTCGTTTTTGTCAGATTATTGTATTTTACAAATTTTACAGCAAATTAGATTAAAAAAAGGAAACGAAATACGCGATTTTTGGGAGAAACTTCCGCAACCATTGGATTTTAATATTTATGTCTTCAATATAACAAATCCGAATGATATTGCATCAGGAGCGAAGCCGATTGTCCAAGAACTAGGACCCTTTCACTATGAGTAATCTTTTTCATATAATATAATAATTTAAATTACAATTATCGCAATTTGTTACTTATTATAAAAAAATGCGTTTCGAATATGAAGAATATTGAACAAATTTTTAAGTGAAAATAATAAAAAAAATGATTTGTAAATAAATAACACAAATAAGAGAAAGAAATCTTATATTTGATTAAGCGGATGTTGGTGCGAATAATATTCACATATATTTGCAAAATTATTGCATTTGAATATTTTTAAGCTTCAAGATCCGCTTTAACTGAAAATATAATTTTTCTGTTATTTAAACAATTTACCTCTAGTAGACATAAATTTTATGTTATTTATAATACATGGAAGTAAAATAGTAATTGATGATCGATTTCCAGTTTGTATCGGGACAAGGAAGATATCGTAGATCGAGAGGAAGATGATACTGTTGAGTACAGTTTGCGACAACTTTGGTACTTCAATCAGGAGAAAAGCATTATGTCAGAAAATGTGGAAATTTATGCGTTTCATCCTCTCATGATAGCGATAACCTTGATCATTCAAAGAGACAGACCATCTACGATGGGAGTAATTAGTATGTATTTAATGAAAAAATAAAAATCCATGCACATAATCGAAGAAATTTTAATGTTCACTTAATACTTAACTCGTAGATATTCAGTTCATTAAAGTGAATTTTGTTTTTGGATATCGTCGATTTTTAAAATCGAGAGATTACTAATTATGGGAACGAAACGGTTTTTACTGTTCAAAACTTTGGTTTTTCTTATTTCTATTATATCAATTATATTAGCCGCGTATATGTATATTTATTCCAATATATTATATAATATACATATATTAAATTATATCTTTTTTTCTCTCTCTCTCTCTTTCTCACTCTCTCTTTCTCTCTCTCTCTTGAAATGTTATATAAGGCAAACTAAATAATTATTTATTTCTTTAGGCAAAGCGTTTGATAGTATTTTCAAAAAACCTGAGTCAATATTTATCAAAACTACTGTAAAAGATTTGTTCTTTAACGGTATACTACTTGATTGCACGGATATAACAGATTTTGCTGGATCCGCAGTGTGCTCTGCTTTACAGGAAAAAGAAGAGATATTAATCCGAGAGGAGGGTTTACGTTTCAAATTTGGTTATCTTGCTAAGGTAATATATCTGCAAATATATTACGATTTTTTTGTACTATTGTATTATTATATTATTAATAAAAGTAAATAAAAAAAATGTTCTTTCGCCTTAAAAAATAATATTTATTTTTACACAAAATTTTTAAATAATGTTTTGATAAGAATATTTTTATAATGTATTATTTCGATTACATGGAAGGAAATAGTATTATATTTGTCAGAAAATTATTAAAATAAAATTAAATGTATTTTATTATTTAGGATGTATATGTGCATATTAATTTAATTAAATTCGGGCGAGATTAAATTAATTTGGATAGAATTATAATATTTTTCATTTTGGATTTTTAAGAATTCTAAGAATATTTAATGTATTTTAAGTGTTATCTTTTTATTTCAGACAAACGGGACTCGTATGCCGGAACGCATAAGAGTATACCGTGGAATTAAAAATTACAAAGACGTAGGTCGTGTGCTGACGATAGCAAATAGTACGAAGTTGAAGATGTGGTTTGGCAATCCTTGCAACGATATTCGTGGCACAGACGGAACCATCTTCCCACCGTTCCTCAGCAAGGAAAAAGAAGTCTGGGTACACTCCCTAGACATTTGTCGAAGTATTGGCGCATATTATCTCGAATCAGGAAAAGTTCAAGGTACCATAAAAACTTAAAAAGTCACGCTAAGTGTTTGCTCTCCGTCGATTCTGAGACATGCTGAGAAACAGAAATTAGTGAAGTGACCACGTTACAGTTAATTTTGCAACGCAGGTTTCAAGACACTACACTACACGGCGGACTTGGGCGATCCGTCTGAGGACGAAGATGTGAGGTGCCTTTGTCAAGAGTCCGAAGGGTGTATGCCTAAGAATATATTCAACGCAGATCCTTGCAAAAGCGTGCCTTTAAGGATAAGTCTACCTCATTTTTATAATTCTGACCCACGATACCTCGAGATGATTGAGGGTGTAAATCCCATCCCTGTAAGTTTAATAATTGTTTTAGTCTTTAAAATAAATATAATTCAAAATAATAAAATTAATCTTATTATTTTTTATCCTGTAGTTTTACCCATACATTTTCTTTTTTTTATATAATTCCACAATAATTTATACAAATATGTATAAAGCTAATTTTAAGCAAGAGCTAAAAGGATAAAATATTAAATAATATCTATAAATAAAATTAATTTTATAGCAATAATAAATTTATAATAAATAAATTTCAAGAAACAATGTGAATTTATCAATAATGACAATTTCTAACCGTGCAAATTGCTATGAATAATGAAACGATTACGAAGTTTACGAGAATTATAATAAAAGATACTATTTGCAGGAAAAGCATCGGATGACTTTTAATTTTGATCCGATGACAGGCACTCCAATAAAAGCGTATAAAAAGATTCAATTCAACGTGATAGTTGGACCCATCCCTAAACTTCGATTGATGAAGTCCTTTCCGGAAGCGCTTTTTCCATTATTTTGGGTAGAGGATGGCCTCGAACTCGGGAATATTCTAATGAAACCGCTGAAAGTTGCCTATTTACAAATTTTAATTGCAAAGTAAGTAATAATATTATCTTTTTATAAGCTTTTTTTCTATCGCATTATTGTTTCGATAATTTAATTCCGTCTTATGAAATGTCTGACATTGCACACCAAAAAATTTTGCGAAATAATTTTTTTCGCATAGTGTTTTCGCGCCGAAACTACTGCAGTTGATGATTGATCGACTTTTTTTTGCAGAATAGTGATGTGGCTCATGATCCTCGGTGGTTTGGGTATGTTTATTGCCGCTATGATGAGGTATTACAAAGAAAACAATGTGGGCGACGTTGCGGTACCGGATCTCGTGCCGGGCAAGGAGAACAAGTCTCCTAAAAAGTTAACCATTAGTACCATACAAGGTCAATTGGTACCACCTAAAATTGATTAAAACACAGGGAGTAATAATTATTACACTAAAGAAGTTGGGAGATGGCGTTATTAATCGCGCAATGTCGATCGCATTGTGTCGAAAACAATAATTTTTAAATGTCATTACTTAGTTAATATTTGGATAATACTTCGATGACATTTATCCAATAACACATCCCATTATTGTAATATACTTACTCAGATAGAAATAATATACCCGTGTTTTACTTTACAAACGCACATGAGTCGTAATCGATTCACATTTTTATCAATATTGTTTTGAAAAATATCACTGTTAAAAGATATATTAGATATCAGAGTACATTTTATTAATTCTAATATTAGTTATTTAGATTGATTAATTGTAACAATGAGTCAAACGCGGATTAACGGATCATAAATATGTAAGAAACTAGTTATTAGTAATTATCATTTTTGCTGTACGCTTTATTATAAAAGTTGTCTTCACCGAAGTGAACCGAGTACTTAGAGTACTTCATCGATCAAGCAATAATTAGAGCAATATTAAACCTATTCTTGACGTCATTAACTTTTATTACAACGCTATAAGGAAAAATTGCTTAATGCATATAAGTCATCTAAACTGTTATTATTTTATTTCTTATTACTATTATAGAATATAATATAAATGACATCTTATAAAAAAAAATGTAAAATAAATGAGCAATGAGAAACAAAAAAATTCCCAAATTATATCTTAATTTGTAATACAAACATTTTAAAAAATCAGATTTTTATTTTAAAGATATACGTAAATATACACTTATTTCGTGTACATAATATATATATATAATAATATTATAAATTGTATACATAACTTATTTTGTATAAAAAATCAGGTAAGACATACATGAGACGAGCGAATCGATTAGCGCAGAGTCTAAACGTAAAGCCTTTACTCGTATGAAAACCTATGATTTTTCCGAGAAAACATTTCTTCTTAATAATATTTAAAAATTTAATTGTTTCAAGAAAGATTGGTAACAGGAATTTTGATTTCTAGAGATTGGAGATCTTCACACTGATCCAAGAAAAAGAGAAAAATAGGAATAGCGGAGAATCAGAGAGATGCATCAATAAACTTTTATTGTAAATTTAATCCTCCGTTAGCAATCTGGATCTTTTTTAGCACAAGAAAAATTTTACTTTCAAATTTCTTCAAAATAAAGGAAGATAAAAATCGATTTCTCCTATTAAAATATCTTGTTAGTAGTGGAGCTTCATGTAACAGAGGTGTTAAAAAGTTAATCCTGAATTTTCCCACATTTTTTGAAAGCCTGGAACAGTAAAAAAACTTGAACTGGACAAAAAAGATTCAGATTACAGGCGGAAATAAGAATATGATTGCAGATAGAGGATTAATTTGACTCAAGACTACATTTCATAAATCTCGATCTTCGTCAATCGCAACCTATTGAATAACAATCAAATCTCAAAGGTATTTTTAACCAGATAATACTTTATAATTATCAATTAGTTGAAGAAACTTTTAGTAAAACGATTAACTGTTTATTTCTCTTTCAATATGTTTATTTATCGTATTAATATATACGTTACTGAAGATAACACGCGACAAGCAAAGGTCATCATGACTTTAGAATCAATCAGCCTAATTTTTTCTTTGATTTTGATCAGAGGTTTGTTTTCAGTATTTGCAGTATTGTCGCGTATTTGCGAGTCAGCGAGTAAAATTACACGTCGGACGCAATGTCGTCGTCGTTGGTGAAGCCTATTCTGGTGGAGATGCCGTGCTATTACGTAGGGAAACCAAGAAGACAACAGGGCCGAACAAGCAGGAGTACGCCGACGCCGGTCTGGTGTAAGACATCGGTGTCATTATCGCGCGGGCAGTCCGTTCGCGACGAGCCGCGCACGATCAACAGCGACGGCGACGTCGACGATAACGAGGACGACAAGGGTGGTGCGAAGAGTTCGGTCGAAAGACCGCACAGGTGCGAAGACAGTTGGAAGGACAAGGCTTCCAGCTTGCGACTCTCGATAGCTTGAAATATTCGTACAAAATTTTAAACGCGGATAAAGCAACGCGAGCAGTGTATTGCGTGAAAAAGGGATTATGGAGTGAACAAGGATTCTAAATCTCAACAATTGAAATTTTAACGCGAGCTTATACGACCGATTTTTAAGTCTAAAGGCGAGAAAGGAACGTAAATTACACAAAGCGATATTTATCTGCAAAACAATGACAGAAAAAAATTGTTCAAGGAATTCTGATATTCTAAATATACCTATTGAAATCACACAGATTATCGAATACTGAATACTGATATTGATAGTGAATATTAATACGCAGATACTGAGGAATAGATTATGCTCTTAGCACTCACAGCTTCACTTGATTGGATTACGAAGATAAAAATAGAAAATCCACTCAAACGCAGAATTTTTCTCGGGCACTTCTTAATTTTTATTACATTATTTAATTTATTATATTATTTAACGTGAAATTATGGATAAATAAATTATTTTTTAATTAATTTTTCCGTATTATATGAATATTGCGAATTGTAATTCGATATATTTCTCAGTATCTAAAAAAAAATGTTAATTTAACAATGGAATAAGTGATAAAAGGAATATATCTTTTTCTCTACACCCTTTATTCTACTAAATAAATAGGATGATTTTGCTGAAGTATCTAAAAATTTAGCTAAATAGACCCGAAAATAATTTAATTTAGACCATTAAAAGAATTATATAAACGTACAAGTTACTAGAATATTAAAATTTCTTGCAATTGTCGTCAACGTTCTACATTAAATGTTCTACATAATTATTTTGATATGTCAATAAAATTATTTTTAGATTTATATCCAGTTAAATTAGATACTTCAGCAAAATCGTTTCTTCCATGTATCAAATTTAAGAATAATTAAACGCGTATGCTACTTTAATTTATTGTTATATTTAATTTTTTATTAGTATCTTATACATTATGTTGTAATATCCATCGTAATCTAATGTTTACGCATCGCAGACGAAATTTTCATGAACATGAGAAGTCAATTAAGAGAATCTTAAGGAAGAGGAATCTTGAATCTTTTTTATTAAGTGCAGTGCAGCAAAAGGTGTTTCTTTCGCATCAAAGTGGTGCAAGACCGACAAGAATAGATTTCTAGGTGTCATTATCAAACGTAATGGTCATCAAGCGACGTGCATATGACGTCGCCGTTCGCGAATTTCGAAGAATGTATGATGTTTTAAAACGTTCGAAATTGCTGTACGCGTTTCCGTTCGGCAAAACGTTTGACAACGTACTCCGCATTCTCGAAGAATATAATAAGGTTTCGATCGTTTAATATTGATCTTCGATCTTCGCGAATCAAGAATAGAGCTTGTGAAAAATTTACGTTCCCTCATAAACGCAATTGCTTCAGAAAAAAATCGAGGCTGTACTTTCAGCAATTAGCGTGTTTACGTTTCCTTTATGAACACCACGTGATAATGTCCTGGCTTTAAATGACGCGATAAGTCATAATTGATATTAATTTCCAAGTAGATTAATTTCACAAATAGATAATACTCTCTAAAACTTTTAGAATAAAACTCATTCTGAAAAATGAAATCTCATTTTTAAAGATAGAAAATTGAAACACTCTTTTTCAAGACTGGGTCACTTTTCTCTAGAGTGAAATCCTCATAAGAATTTAAACAATATGTAATCATATAATAGATCCGCAAACTTAAATGCGTATTTTCAATTTTATGTAATCCGAAGTTTTAATAAATAATTGTTTATTTATTAAAACGTTCAAAATATCTATTTCGGTCCGATCGTATATTTGTGCCTAAATATCACTTGGCGTTTCTGCAGAGCGTTAAAATGGTGTCTATAAAGAAGCTCGGAATTGGTGGTGGAGTTTCGTTTATCTTCGGCATTCTACTTTGGTGTGCGTTCCCAGCATTGATTAAATCGCAAATTAAAAAGGTGAGCAAATGTAATGAATTTAATAATAAATTTTTATTTTTATTTTTGTATAAAATATTTTAATCTTACTATATAAAGAAAGTATAAACAAATGATTATACACTTGTTAAAAAGGTGATATATTTCTATAATACCTACATTTTTTACTTGAGCAATTTTCTTGTGTTATAAATTATAGATTTTTCAATAATTTTATTTCTGCGTGTAAAATTAATTTCCAAGAGATATACGCATATATATTTTTCAGATTATTCGCAAGATTTCGTTTTCCAGGTTTTTAACGAAAAAGTTGTTTATTAATGTTATATTACATACCGTAAAATAGTAATGAATTTAAATATAATTTAAAAAATTTTTTTGTTGTCATTCTCATTCAGAAATTTTGCGTAAGCATCTGGTTTCTAAGTAATTATTATTTTGTAGTTTATGTATCTTGAAATATTCAAGTCATTCCATGAAAGCGTATGTCACGAAATCCTTGAACTCCAGTTATGATTATGTATTGTTACAATAATATATTGTTTTGGCATTTTATAATATAATTTCCTATCCAAAAATAGTAGAATTAATGTAATTTTCTTCCGCTATACCATTATATGAAACATAAACGCATTTTCAGAATTAATTTCATGTGACTGTATAAACATTTGTTTTACTTTCACAGCTATAATTATCGTAACATTCATTGACATAAATGTTTATGCGTCTATTGCTAAAACTATAATTTGTGCAATCCATGTGGATACAGATTCATTTTTTATTGCAATGTTTTAAATAATATGCCATCAAGTTCGCTATGAACAAATGAGAGCCTTGTTTGTAATCTGACAAAATTTAACATAAATGTGTAGGCGGTTCAACTGAAACCAGGAAGTGAGATACGCGATATGTGGTCGGTTGTTCCGTTTCCATTGGATTTTAAGGTTTATATGTTCAATATAACCAATCCTGATGAAATTAAGGAAGGTAAAAAGCCGAGAGTGCAGGAAGTCGGGCCGTTCTTCTACGAGTAAGTAATTCTTTTTAATCTGATACTCTCAATATATACAAAAATTTTACGATTTAATATTTAAAATCTAATGGCATATTTCTAATCTAATACTCACAGAATTTATAGATTTGACATCAGTAAAACCAACTTTGTTTCTGTTTTTTTTTTGTTATTAACAATTAAATTCTATATTCAACTGCTCACATTTTTTATTATAGGTGAATGCAAGGAACAATTTTACTAAAACTGCTGAAAATTTAGGTAGATACAGATCTAAAAATAATTTTATTAGAGACAAATTAGTCGTTAGAAGTCAAAACTTTTTGCAACATTGTCCATTATGTTTGAATGTCTTACATAATTATTTTGTTAGTTTAATAAAATCATTTTCAAATCTGTATCTAGCTGAATTTTTAGGTACTTCAGCAAAATCATCCTTTCCACATGTAGCCAATTTTGTTTTAATCAGTCTGAATTTTTTTTTATTTAATTAAGAATCACATCTGCTTTCATAAACTTGTTCACTTTCAAATCTTTTAAAATATCAACATTTAAATATCAACTTCAGCGAGTACAAAGTGAAGTTTGATCTCATCGATCGAGAAGATGAGGACTCCGTTGAGTACAGCATGAAGACAACATGGTTCTTCAACCCCAAGAAGAGCAACGGATTGACAGGCGAGGAGATAATGGTCTTCCCTCATCTCATGATTCTGGGCATGGTGGGAGCCACCCTTCTGGACAAACCCGCTGCGATTGGTGTCGTCGGTACGTACATATGATTTATCAGTATTAAATATTTTCTTCCAATGTCGTGTATCGATTGCAGTCGCGAATCGGCTGTATCGCACAGGGTCGACGCGGACTATAATAATAAATGTGTGCCGGAAGGTTTAAAGTGGAACGTGAGATACGTTTTCCTATAGTGTACGTACACCTTAGGCGAAGGTGCGAATTATTTATAAGGTCTCCATTGCCTCAATCGTCATCATATTTGTAATTGCAACACGTGCATTGTCTCATGCGACGATTAAATTCAATTAATAAAAATAGCGAGCAATTTACAAAAAATGTTATTATATTAATCTTAAAATATATGTCTATATTTTCTCTTGTTAAAATTTATTATATCAATGAATAACGTAGGCAAAGCCGTCGATAGCATCTTCCATAAACCGGACTCGATATTCGTGACAGCGAAGGCAAAGGATATACTTTTCGACGGTCTGCCTGTTGATTGCGACGTGAAAGACTTCGCCGGATCGGCGGTGTGTAATCTATTGAAGACGGAAGCGAAAGATTTGATACCGGACGGTGAAAATCGCTATAAGTTCTCCCTCTTTGGCGGGGTAGGTACACTGAAAAAAAATTTACTAAATCTTGATACATATTTTGTTGAATAGCACTATAAGTAAAAAAAAAACATTTACTTACAGTATATAAATATTTTTTTAATAAAGAATAATAATCAAATCAAATTAATGATTTTTATATCAAAAATAAAGATATGTTTAATAAATACTTAGAATTATTAAAACAAATCTTTATTAAAATTTAATGTTTTCTCAATGTGATTTAAAAAAAATTGATAAATTATTTAATATAAAGATTGTATATACATATGTTTAAAGTATTGATTGCGTTTGAAAATAATAATGCTTTAATAAATGTGGAATATTGCCACAATTATTTTACAGATAAAGTTGTTCAGAATTTTTTAAATATCATTGAGTGATTTAAGTGACTATTGTTTCTGAAACTATATATTTTTTGTATTATATCTTTCGATAATGTAAACATTATTTTAACGTAATTCTGTAACGTCCCTGATTCCTTGGAGATATGATGATAAAGTAGATAAAATGCCTAATTGCATGTTAAAAAAAACGAGTCACGCATGGAGATAATAATAAACTATTATGTTGCATCTGGTAATCTCGCGAGATGGTTACATTATACTTGCGAAAAGTGCATGCATAAAAAGTATGCAAAAATTATAAAAATTTATTACATTGTTCTTTAATAAAAGTACAATTTATTATTTCACGGAAAATTGAACGTTTATAGAAAAACGGTACCGCCGTACCGGAACGTATGAAAGTTCTGCGTGGTGTTAGAAATTACAAGGAAGTCGGTCAGGTATTGGAATTCAATGGTAAGCCCGCATTAGATATCTGGCCGGAGGATCACTGCAACGCTTTCAACGGTACTGATTCGACAATTTTCGCACCTTTATTTGGGCCGGATGATGACGTAGTCTCATTCGGCTATGAGATCTGTCGAAGTCTTAGTGCGCATTTCGAGCGCCACACCAAAGTCAAAGGCATGTATTCAAAAATTTTTTAATAAAATTTAAATTTTATAAGAAGTGAAATTAGAATTGAGGCTCTCGAAATGCAAAAACATTTGCAAAACATTATGCATTTTATGTTATTGAGAGATGATGTAACACTTTATATAACTTTTGATAAAACTTATAATTATATAATTTTTTGAAATTATCGAAACACAATATGATGTGACATATATACAAATATATATGTATGTTTACTGTTACTTATTACTTTAACTTCATTTTTAATAACAATCTCGAATTTACAGGCGTCAAGACTCTCCGTTACACTGCGAATTTAGGAGATATGAGCACGAATCCTATGGAAAAGTGCTTCTGCCCAACACCGGAGACTTGTATGACGAGAAATTTCTACGATATGACGAAATGTTTAGGCGTCCCTATTATTGGATCTCTACCGCATTTTTACGATACCGACGGAAAATATTTAGAGATGGTGGATGGCTTGCGCCCGAATCAGGTGATCGACAGAGAAACAATATACTGCGATAATCATGATAGTCATAAAATAATTTTATAAAATAACTATAACGAATTAAATATCAAAGATTTGTAATTTTGAATAAATGGTATTCATCAACAGGATGAGCATGAAATCGACATGGATTTTGAACCGATGACGGCTACGCCAATAAGCGCGCATAAGCGGTTGCAGTTCAATATGTTTATACAACCGGTATCAAAGTTCAAATTAATGAAGAATTTTCCAAATGCACTGCTGCCTCTGTTCTGGGTAGAGGAAGGGATTCTTCTCGGTGACGAGTTCGTTAACAAAGTGAAGGTGGTGTTCAAAGTGATGGCGGTCGTCAAGTGAGTGTTGCAATTTTGCAGCAATGTTTTTTAAATAATTATATTTAACAATATCAATATAATGTTAGTAATAATAACTGTATATGTATAGTTCTATCAACAGTAAATGTATGGCTGAAAATGATATATATAACTATAATTATACATATAGTTATTGTTATTGTTACTATAAAAATTATTAAAATTACTATGATAATTACATGATAAGAATATAAGATGTTTTATTGCGCAAAATGGCGATAAAATATATTTAGAGCTAGTTTCTGATTAGTGGCAAATTTCTAATAACTGCCTTATGATGATTTACAAAATTTCTGATTCATCCTACTGCACATAAACGGAAATGAAACGGAAATCTGATATTCTTATACGGCAATTATTATGACTCATGAAAAAAAAGAGCATAAAAATTATTATAATTTAATTTATAGTCATTTTTTGGGATATAAATATCATACCATATAAATATACCATATAAATATCAAACATTTTTTTCTTAATAATAATAATATAATTTAATTACACGTGCCATACAATTAGTTTAACATCATTCGTATAATTACTTCTTTCTTCAACTTTTTTCTTGGATCACCGATGTGATGAATCATTTATTAATTTGATACTACGATTTGCAGTTTTCTGAAGTGGCTGTTAGTATTAGGAGGGATAGGCATGGGCGGCGCGGCCGGATTTTTCTACTACAAGAATCGCGATAGCGGCAAATTAGATATCACAAAAGTTACTCCGAAGGCCAACGGGGACGACAACAAGACGGAGAAAAGCTGGCCACCTGGGATGAACATCAGCACGATACAAGCGTCGGTACCGTCCAACCTCGACAGAAATTGAACTGCTATTAGCGGAAGGATAATATGAGTATTAACGTCGCGAAAGTCCATCCCCCTTCAGTCCCAGATATCTTTCTTTAACTTAAAATTATTATTAATGTATATAATTGAGCAGGCTTTTTCAAATACGACGAAGGACAAAAGTGTTTTGAAAAGAATAGGATAACAAACTATCCTTTTTTTATAAAAGTAAAATAAGGATTTAATGTGGCGGCATTAAGTGACTGAAGGACTAAAAGAGCTAAAGTTATCATGACTAATATGTGTAATAAACAATCATGGCAATAATGTTGTTGCCATGCCTATCTGGAGCTGATATTTTAGCCCAGATCTATCTAAGATAACATGACAGATAAATTTTTCTTTAAAAATAATCAAACTCGAGAATATATAAATAAGGATAAGACTCAATACGTCATGTGAAACATAATTGAAGTTAATTATTTAACTACCTCGTTGTAAGAATGTTACAAATCTCTCATTTTATAATGCACTTGTAATAATGTACACTGTACAGTATGAATCAACAGTTCTTAATCTTCGTTTCTCGTGAATCAATTATGTAAATATATTTGAGGATTTTTCAACTTTAAACTTTATGAGAATTTTAAAATGCGTTTTATACCGTTAATGCATGAAGTTTGATTTTATAATATAGCGATTCGGCACGCAATGATATAGACAGGTTAAGGACTGCTGACAATAGACATACATAATTAGTTATTCTTAAAAAAAGTTATTCTGAAAAGGAACCGTTTAGATTTAGAGATTTTAAGTATCTTCTAATAGATTAAATACAAAAATACAACAACTATCATCATCCGACTAGATACAAAGCGAGTAAAAATGGCGAATACTATTAAAGAAATAATATATTTATCTAATTTTTGTCGAAATATATAAATAAAATTATTTTTAAAATACTAAAACTAAAAGAGTAGAAATTTACACATTTATTTTAACAAATAAATAAACAATTTTCACTACTTAAGTGTCATTAATTTTTGCAGACGATGATCTTATAAAAAGGAAGACATCGATAAGCGTCAACAAAAATTTTTAAATCGTAAACAAATGCATTAAATAACAGATATAAATTACACATTATTTATGTATTTATCATTTCCATCAAATTATTTATATTCAGACGTTCGGCTGAGTGTCAGTAGACCCTCCTTCCGTTTATTTTCTGTTCATCTTTTACACAGCAACACGTATCTATACGCGCTCCTGTACTCGGAGCTCATCACAACATAAATAACAGGATTGATGCAGGTCGTCAGATAGATGAGTATGTAGCCGGCGATATTGAGGCCCTGCCAGTCCTGGAAAACCGCCCCCTGGAAAAGCTTCGTGACGGTGATCGGCAGATAGCACACTAGAAACGACACGAATATCACGAGGATCATCTGCAACAGTTTCCGGTCCTTGACGGACATCTTAGGCGTAGCGTACTCGGCACCGTTACACATTCTGCCGACACTCATGAACTTTGATTGTCTGCGAAATGCCTTTCTTGCATGAGATTCGTTAATTTCTTCGAGTGGTCTGGAATCCAATCGATCCGAGTGTTCGCCACCTGCGATCCTCTGCAGTGAGGACTCCACGATGAAGGATGCTTGACCAGTCAACCTTCCCAGTCGACCGCAAGGGTTTTCCGATAATTTCCGTTGTAGTCCGCACTGGTTCCGATTAAAAAACAGTCTCGTTTCTGTGAAATCCGATTTCTCGATTGCACGTTCGTCCAAAAATAGTATATCTTCCGATAGGCTGACTTCAGAAGCATCGTAACCGTTGTTGGACTTCGCAATATTCGTGGTTCGATCATCTGTATGCATATTCATCGTACCATTCGTTTTTTGTTCGTGGATTAGCTTGGACGATGATGAATCTTCATTGGCGGATGTGGATGGTAGTTCGAGATTCTTTCCTTCGTTTGGATTAAGAAGAACCGCTTGCATCGATGAGAAAGGAACGCAAAGGACAGAAAGCTCTTGCTCTTGATTTTTCGTAGTGGACGGTTGCTGTAAAGATGATTAAAACAATAAACTAGGATTTAATCGATGATTTAAAAAAATATAATTAAACTTTGATAAATTAAATAAAAAGTTCATTTTAGTAAAATTTTTATAGCATTTTTTAGTTATTTTTTTAATTTTGTAATTTTTTAGCTATTTTATTAGTTTTCTTTTATAATATACTTTCTAATTATTAATGTTTTATTTATTTTTATTTACTTAATTTGAAGTATATAAATTCCAAAGTTTGTCATCAAGCATATAACTTTTTTCAACAAAACGTATAGAGAGATAAAAGAATCGGTCTTCTTTTTTATTCTTTTAAATGTATTTTGTACAATTTACTTTCCTTTGAGTTAAATCTTTTTCCTTTTTCTTGGTTACAGAAATAAATAGATCTTACGTCATGGCTAATTTCCGTCGGTTCTACATTGAAGATCTTCACTCTGCTTCTACTCTTCGAAGCAGTTTCGCGAACGATGTAGAAAATCCTAGCATAGCAAACGATAATAGCGAGGCAGGGTATTAAAAATGCGAGGACAAAAAGGAACTCTTTTGGACTCCGCCCGTTTATGTCCGGCAGAATCGTACAGGATCCGATAACAGGATCTAATCCAAAACGTCCAAATCGTTCGAACCACGTGACGACCAGCAAGCCAAAAGCAATAATCCATATCGCCAAAACCATCGGTATTAAGAACTTCGTTTTATACAACCTTTGAATAACATTCAATAATTAATTTGTATAATAGAATTAAGAAAATAATTTCTTATATATAAAAATCAGAAAATTTGAAACAAAAAAGATTTTAAATCAAGGCTCAATTTTTGAGAAAATATTTATTTTTAAATTATTATTGTAATAATTTTATTTATTTATTAGCTTTTACAGGCTCAATAATCATTTAGTATTTGATTTATTAGTAAAAAAAATAGTTATAAAAAATAAAATATTTGTATGAAATAAACTACTTACGTAGAATAGAGACTAGGATGACCGATCATGACGTAGCGATTGATTGTGATCGCGAGAACGCTGAAGAGGCTGACTGCAACGAGGCCGTACCTCAAGAGCGGAAACAGCCGACATAGAAGTGGTCCGTGCAACCACGACCTATGCCAGAACGTTGAAGTTGCGAGTGGTAAATTGAAACAGCAAAACATCAAATCTGATATCGAGAGATTCATAATGAAGACCGCGGTAGCATTTTTTAGCTGTAACAAAATTAATTGTAAAAAGTTGTAGAAACTTTATATTAAAAACAAAATTAATATTACAAATAAATATTTAAATTACAGAAATATTTTCTTACAAAATATCTTTATTATGTTATTGGCCGGAATTGCTTTTTATTTGGAACATTTAAATAAATCATTTTGTATTTAATTATAATACTTTATTGTTGTGCGTGATTAGAGCAGGTATTTGATAATACATGTATAATAACAAAGAAATCGTTGACGTGAAAATTAATTCGCGGAATTTTCGAATAAACTCTCCCGAATTTCTCGAAGTAAATACGATAAAATTGATGGAGACTTCTCGATTCTAGTTGATTATATCGGAATGGAGTACGTGAACCTTCGTGAAAACACATGACTGTATATGCGGTCGGTTCCGCGTAATCGATTCCAAACTTAACTCAGTGATGATTGACTTTGGTGAAAAATTTAGCCATAGAATCGTGCCGATGACCTCCTTTTCAACCTCATAATTGATGTTTTTTAATAACAAACATGTTAGAAAATACGTTCTACTATTCATAAAACAATTATGTCATATTTGGAAATCTCTAAAAATTTGTGCTTTTAAAATGAAAGAAACATATTCGAGCGTAAAAGAGAGAAAAAGTGAAAATGGCAATAAAAAATCAACATGTAAGATTAATAAAATATAAAACTTAAATAATACAAAATCCTTTCATAAAATAAAACTATTAAGAATATTAGACTGAGAAACATTCTGTATAGTTTAACGTCATTGTAGCTTAGATTAACACCTTAAGACTAAAGAGGTATAATGACTCGAGGTAAACCACTCCGGCAGCTTTTAAAATTTATGCGTGTAAGCAATGCCGGAAACTTGAGTAATACGGATTACATAATACGGATTCGTTATACTAGAACTTTTTGAGCACGAGTCGGGAAAATTGTTGCAATAAGTAGCGCAAAACGATTTACAAATAAAAATGCTTTATTTGTACATTAAGCATTTCAGAATATTTTTTTAGAGAGGAATTTAATTGTAACATCAACACGTTGGCATATTATTATTTTTCTGAATTATTATTTTCCCTCCTTTTATTAATTTTCAGCTTGAGCTGTGTTTGCTTTTTCCCTACTCGCATTTTCTTTTTACATTATCATTTATTATTATATTACCATTTATGATTATTATTATTTTTTTATACAAAGTTACATAGGTTAGGATTTTTTATACAAAATTACATATTATTTTTTAAACATAGTTACAGTTACCTTTTTGGTGCGAAATAATGCGATCACCGTAATGAGATTTCCCGGAATGCAGACCAGCATGAAGAG